AGACAACAAGCTGCTGGGAGTTTGTTTCTCATTAGATCATTTTAGCAGCTATTCACAATTTCAATAAAAATGAGCAGCTGTGCTTCAGTCTGCCGCTAGTGACCATCAAACAGACAAATCAGAGAAAATTGGACATTAAAGTTGGAAGAGGGGAGAGGAGCTAGACATTACAGAGGCTGCCGGATTTTGTAAAACTCACAATTATAATTAAAAAGCTAAAGTGTCTTTAGCTTTTTTAAATGTTCAAGTTAAGATTCATTCTCAGCTTCCAATAGTTTCCAAACATACAAATAGCAAACACCAGTTTTTGCATCTTTTTAACCCCAATTCTTCTTCATACCACAGCCAAAACAGATTTACCCGTTCTGAGACAAAATGCACAGCTGGTAGTGTGAAGATTGGAAAATAACCTGTTGCTGAACAGGACTCACCTCGACCCACTGCTGAGACGCTAAGAGTGGCCGACAGGATACGTTTCTTTAGCGAAATAAACGGAAAGTGAGCTGAATGAGACGCATTCAGCTCAAAATAATTTGCCTCTCAGGATTTCCCGGAGGAACTGTTGTTGTTGAGGTGGAAAAGTAATTAGATTCTTACTGGTGAGCCATTCATTGTGGGATGAGTTTGGCGTTGCTTTTTTTTCATTGCAAATCTCTTTTTGCAAATCTACACAAAAATTACCAAAAGGGTAAATGACCTGCAGAACAAGCATGTAGACAGCGAGAATTTGTCAGCCCAGAATACTCCTTAGTAAGTAACAAACACCCAGATACGTCAACTTTCAAGGATGTCACGTGTAAAATTGATGCACTGCTTTCAGTGGAGAGTTTGATCCACATGTCTGATGTCCACAAAAGGTTAAAAAGATGAACAGATTGTTTGGGATGCCTTCAGCTGTGACACAATGATTGATTCCACCGTATGGTCTCAATCAGTGAGGGTAAATTTTGCTCAGAAGGCTGAGGGGAAATCCCTCACTTGTCCCTGCCTTTTTAACTTCACACCATTATTTCATGGATGCTTGTCCTCTCGCCTCCTCATCTTTATTCTCTTATTGCTGCACTCTGAAGGATTGTCTCCTTTCCCTCTTCCTTACTCGTCCTCTGTAATTCCTGTAAAGTGCCTTTCAGGGTCGAGGTGCCTTTCTATCCAAAGCATTTCTACAAAGTAACACTACATTGGCTCTTTTTTTTTTTTTTTTTTTTTACAATTATTGAAGCTGCAAACCAGAATTTGTTGTAAAACAAACACACAAAGTAGGGTTTTTTTTTCTTCTGTGCATCTTTTATTAAACTTTGAGATTTGTGAAATTGAAAAAGTTTTTAAAAATCCTTACTTCTTCTGATGTATTTTTAGTGTTTCTGTTGAAATAACTTAAGAATTGAAATATATGTCCAGATTAAAGGACAGTTTGCTTTCTGTAAAATGTCTGATTCACATTTGAAGAAAAATTTGAATATACATTTAAACTCTTCATGAGGCATGAAGAGTTTGCAATTTTTCTTTCATGCATTTACTAACAACAATACTAACAGAAAGATACAACAGATGTCAAGAAAGTGTAATGAAATAAATGCATTTTCTGAACCAGATTCAGTTTTACAGTTTTGACAGAAATGTAAGTCAGAAACTGAGGCAGTTTTTTTTTTATCATTTGCCGTGAAGTGGTTTGTGTGTGTGTTGTTTTTTTGTGTGTGTGGCGGTCTAGAGCCTGAGGATTTTTTTTTTTCTGTTGAAGAATGATGTCAGTTTTTAATGTAGTTTCACCTGAAAGCCAAAGGATCACTGTCATTCAGTATGGGCTTTTGGTCATGTTTCATCCAAACAGGTTTTTCTGTATTTTTTATTCAAATTTACACAGAAAACAACTCTATTACTGATTCTACAAAAGGTATTTTTAAAATATGTTTTAAATGCAACTCTTTCAAAAGAGGTTTTTCTCACAGCAATTTAGATTTTACCTTATAATTCACACAGTTAGTAAAGTACGACTTACTTACATAAGTTTGATTGTTTTGGGAATTAAATAAAATTGAATGTAAACATATAAAAGATAATTTAATTTATAATAATCACATTTTATCCCAGAATTATAAATGTTTTAAGTATATTTCTGACTAACTTGAATCACCTCTATAGATTCCACTCAGCGCAGCTCTGCAGTGTAAATCCAGGGTTTCGTTTTTGGTGGATTTTCTTAATGTTTCCTTCATCATGACAATATTGTGTTTACTAAATATGAGGGTCTAATCTACTTGAGGCTGAGACTGATCCTGGAGCTAATTTAAAAGTTGAGAAAACTTAAAAGTTAGGGATGGGGGGAGTGATTATGTGATTCAGAAAAGCCCCATGAGTTTGTTAGGTGAAATAAATTATTCTTTATGTCTTTAGAGACTAAATCACTGGGAATGTTGAAGCGAGTGCTCTAGTACAATTACTTGAAAACTGTTGGTTGCTTTGTGTGCTTGCTCAAAATCAGGATCAGTTAAAAAGAACAGATTGTCATTAAGTAAATGTGTCTCTGTGGTTTGTTTCCCTGAAAACACAAAGAACGCAGATTGGTTTGTGTCAGGCAGGCTTGTTCTCACCTACACTATGGTGGGCTGGGGACTCTAAATGGCCTGCAGGTATGAAAAAGCGTTTGGACGGCAACTCTAAGAGCCTAATGACTTTCCCACCTTCCTGCCAGTGCATGCTGGGAAAGTCTTCATCACCCCACCCCCCACCCTTTCAACACCAATGACCCTGAAAAAAACAAGTGAAGAGAAAAAAAAAGGAACTGGAAACAAAGAACAAAATGTATTTTTTTCACTTCTCATGCTTTTTCACCTCCAGTGCTTATGTTCTGTCCTGAAATAAAGCATAGATATCCAAATAATAGTCTCTTATCAAGTCCACAGGCTCAATTTCTTATTGAAATCTTTTTTTATTAAATCTTTCCTGCATGTTCAGGTGAAGATCAGACTTGACAAGGACAGGCCGTGTGACTGAGATAATTGTGCTGAGCGTGCCCTTGTTCTGCAGTCAGCCTTTATATTTGTAAGGCAATTAACCAGATTAGAAAGCATAATCGATAACGCCACCCTCTGCAACCCTGCTGCCATCTTCCCCTCTGGAGAAAGAAAGCTCTCCTGTCACAACCCTGTTGATTCTGCATTTTCTGCTATGTTTCTGTTCAAAGCCTTTCTTTGAACAGAAGGTCTTGATTTTTTCAAATTTATTTAGAAAAATGGGGACAATTTCAGAGAGTTTCTACTCCGTTTTACATTTTCTTTACTCTTTCAAAGCATCTGGAAGGTAATTGATTTTCAGTTAATTATTCACCACAATGCAAATAGAAAGAAAGGTGTGTCTCATTTAGAGATAATCAGTGCACCACTAGAATAACAATATTAAAAAAAAACTATTTTGTGGGAATCTGTTGTGTGAAGAAAAGTCTTGATTTCTTTTCACCCTTTTAAAGTCAGGCACAGTTGGAAACAAAGAAGTGTGTCATACAACACCCATCGCTCCAGGCTGCTTTCTTCAAGAACAGACTTAGTTCCACATTTCTCATCTGAAATTAATTGAATGACGACAGCATCAGGGTGACATCATACCCATCTGTCCTTAACCAATTTCTTAATGTCACTGTGTCCAATGTTGGAAGACACACATGATGTGGATCACATTCGGGCCCTGATGGATGCTGTTAACCCTTTTCCAAGGTGGAAAAACACAAAATGTAGCAGTTTTTAACTTGAGAACAGAAATTCTGTTTTTATTTACTTTTACCACATGTACAGATCCTTTCAAAATGAACCACACCTCTTAACTGTTTTCATATTTTGTCACATTATAGCCACCAACTTGATATGCAACACATTGTTTCCTTTAGAAAAATAATAAAAAATCTAAGATGTGCTGCAGGTATTTATATTCTAGTCTTATCCATAAACATAATCACGCTTCACCTCATCAGTTAACAGAGATATGTTTGCTTTAATCTCAATAAAAAATACAGCTACTTTCTAAAGACCTCAGAGGTTTGCTAGAGAACATTAGTGAGCAAACAGCATCATGAAAACAAGGAGCACCAAATAGGTCAGAGGTCAAGAAGTTTAAATCAGCTTAAAGTTATGATGCAATACGGTATGGAACATCTGCAAACCAAGACATGCACTTGAACTGATAGAGCAGGCATAGAGATTACATTAAAAAAATCCCTAAGGTCTAAGGTGGAAGTTAAGATAAAGCCCATACTTGAATCTAATTGAGAATGTTCAGACTCTCCACATCCAATTTCACTGGATTCAAACACTTTTGACAGAAAGAGTGGGGGGGAATATATCAGTTTTTGGATTAAACCCAAAAAGACATTCAACTATGATAGCAGAGGAAAGTGGTTCTATTGACTACAAATGCACACCACACTTTTCAGGTGGACTACTTTTGCAAGGCTCTGTGCAAGTTAGTTCTTGCAAACTAATACAACAAACTATTTATTTAGAATGTTTTATTTTTTAATGTGATTGTCCTGATGATTAATCAGTTTCACTTCTCTGGTGTTAGAGATTTTCTGCACAGATTCTTCCTTCCCGTTGAATATTTAATTTCGCTGCGTCTTTATCTCCGCATTAAGACTTTTATTTTTATTAAATTGCCGCATGTGCACCCCCACTACAAACATGAATTTGATAAAAACACACCGAGGCACGAAGTAACAAAGTATCGGGGAGGGGGGAAACACACCGTGCCATCTGAAGACAACTAGAGAAGCGCGGGAATCCTCTTTTTTTTCTGCCAACTGCTCAAAACCCGATTTATAGTGAAGAGTGATCTCACCGTGTGCGCTGTGGTGGGATTCAGTGTGCCACTACAACATGCACACAACGACTGCGGCTCTGCTCTTCCCAGAACACCAAACCTGAGGATACAGGACTTTATTCGAGATCGACAGCGAGATAAGCTGTAAATTACGCCTCCCCTTTTTTATCTTTTGTGGAGACTGGGGGGTTTTGGTGCAGGGGACTCGAAGGATGCTGCTGCCTGTTGGAGCACAAAGACGCGCGGTTCCTTGTTGGGTTCAGTCTGCAGTCCACTTACCACCAACTGCATTGCCACACAATCGTGGGAAGAGAATGTGTGTATTATGAAACTCTGCGCCCGCCTGGAGCTTTTCTTGTCAACTCTTTGTGGATCATCGCGCTGACGTTCGCATGTGGAGTGCAGATCATCACTCTTTGAAACAACTACAATGTGGTGCGCAAAGTAAAGTGGAGGAAATGTTGCATCCGAGCGCAGTGGACGGGCAGGACTGTGACTTCCAGAGCGTGCCCGCCGACCTGTGAACGCCGCACTCGATGTGGCGCTTGTCGCTGTCCGACGCGCGTGTGGTGCTGAAATTTGGATGATGCCCAGCCTGCGACTGCAGGGCTGCCGCTCCCTGCACCTGAACGAGGACAACGGCCGCTTCGTCCTGCTCGCCGTGCTCATCCTGGTGTACCTGCTGTGCGGCGCTGCGGTCTTCTCGGCCATAGAGAGGCCCTCGGAGCTGCGGGCTCACGGCCGCTGGAACGGGACGCTCCTCAACTTTAGTGAGACCTTCAACATCAGCCTGCAGGAGCTCAACTCTTTCCTGCGGGAGTACGAGGCCGCCATAGCCGCCGGGATCCGGGCTGACGCTCTTAGACCGAGATGGGATTTTACAGGAGCTTTTTATTTTGTTGGAACTGTGGTGTCGACTATAGGTGGGTGATGTTTGCAGCGTTCACTCAATGCCTTGACCTTTGAGTCCATTTTGTTGCAGGGAGATAGTGGAGAGAGAGAAAAAAAAGTCAACACACACTTGAAAAAATGCCAGGTTTTACAATGCAGATAAAACACGAGAGAAAGGTAATTCAGTTCAGAACTTTTTCAATCTTTAATGTGGCCGATAGCTTGTATGAATCATCCAAGACTCCTTGTTTGACAGAAAATTAATCTAAAATAAGACCTAACTCCTCTTAAAGTCCTTCTGATTAACCACAAATAAAGTTCAGCTGTGAAGGAAGGAAATTTCCTTAGTCAAACACCACAGAAAACAATGAAGACGACCCTGAAGCAGAGAAAGAAAATATTGCAACTTAATATTTCTGGGAACTGAATGTTCCCCAAAAACCAGTGACAGAAAGTGGCTATAGCTGAGAGGCATGCAGCTGCATTTTAGTGTCACCATCAGCAAGTACTGACTATATGGGGGACAAACATGCCAATATATGAACCTTCTCTCAGAAATGACACCCACGTTTGGTGTAAATGAGCAAAAAGCCATTCAAAGCCTAACAGTAAGCCTAAAAATGATGTTAAGATCAGAAGTGAAACACAGTGAAGCATGGTGGTGGCAGCATCATGCATTGGGACCTTATCCAAGTTCCAAATACCAGTCAAAGTTGACCCAAAACCTTCAAAAAAAAATTTCTAGAAAGCTAAAGGTGAGGATTAACTTTAGATTTCTGCATGACAGCAACGCAAAGCATAAATTACATCATCTGAAGGAGACTTAAGAGGAGAAAGAGACGGCACACCAGAGTGAAATTGAAACTACAAAACGGTTTGAAAAGAAGTTGTGAACAGAAAACGTTATCATCAGAAAGAGTTGAAAGTTTCTTGTAAAGAGCAGCAGACAAATATTATCAGATCAAGACGTGCCAGGTTGACTGTGGTTATCTGATGGAGCCAACACAAAGTTCATGTTCAGGCCAATTTTGTTTTTTGTTTTTTTGTTCACTACTATTTATTTGATACACTTGAAGTTTAAAATGAATGTGTCACATGTTGATTTAAACAAAAGTTTTGAATGAAAAGGAGTGGTTGGAGGAAAGAAATCCTATATAGCCTACCTCTTCTTGCAAAAGTCAATTCAATATAATATTAGCAACTTAACATCAATTAAGATAACTCTTTAAAAACAAAACAGGCTACGTATAAAAACATAACAAAACAGGATATATTTGTAATGATGCAGCACTCTACTTGCTTTAATTTTTCATTTTGTATTTCCTCCTAACAGATTTAAAATTACATTTAAAGTGAGCTGCACAAGTTAAGGGGCATGTCAGTGGTGGAGAAAGTTCTGAACTATTATCTTGATCTCATTTTTAATATACTGAGGCCTGTAATTTTAACAGGGATGTGTAAACAGTTTATATCCACTGTGGTGGTTTCTTCTTGGAAACATAAGTTTGTAGGTGTCCTAAAGCTGAAAATGAGGAACCACCTCACATTGAGAAGACAGTTGAAATGAAGTAATTTCAGGCCAGATGGGTTTTGGAACCACATGTCTTTCTAAATGGTTAAATAATCATGTCATTACTTTCAGTCTGGATATCTGAGGGACTGGAGCAGTCTCCCTCTGGATCACTTTCTTTCTGCTGGCTTGTTCGCAGAATACCAGATTAAACTTCCGTTTTTTTTTAGTTGGCTTTTATTTTGGTCGTGTGTTAAATTTTTTTGGCTCTGATGGACTTTTGGAAATGGGGGCAACATCTGACTTGTTTGCCATTTGGATCTGCTCGCTCATCGCTGGCTATAGGACAGCACCCATGGGTGCAGCCTCTCTTTTTTTGTCACATTTCTCATCAAACTAACAGGAATGTCAATGAGAAGCCCCTTCTACTCTCCTCCCCCCGTTTAACATTTACTCATGCAATAGGTCAGAAAAGAGCAAGTGTACCTCCCAGGGCAACCTGAGGGCCAACGGTGTGACGCTGTGCATGGCTGATGGCTCTGACATCCACTTTCCACTCATATACAGTCCTTACAGAAAGAATTTATTTCCTTTTTTCCACATTTGTGCTGTTATGTAACTTTTAAAGTGTTTAGTAACATCTCTCGGCATTCACCAACACAACGAAGCTCTTAGCTGTGACATGGAGGGAAGAGTAAATTTTAGTTCAGCCCTCTTTTACCCAGATACCCCTAAATGAAATCTTGTGCAACCAGCTGCCTTCAGATGTAAACACAGATTGGTGGATGTTGCAGAAATTTACAATTCTAAACACATTTTTCTTCAGTAGGGACAGAAAAACAAGACTTCATAGTCAAGTAAAGTTTATTTTTATAGCATATTTCAGCAACCAGAAATATGTGTTACATCATAAAAACATCATACAGAAATGATTAAAGAACAAGCAATAAACATTACATTTTGTCAAATAGCATCAAAGTCATCAAAATCAACTTTTAACTTACTACTAATCAAATGCTACTCTAAAAGGTTGGATTTTAAGTCTTGATTTAAAGGAACTTGGTGTTTCAGGTGTTTTCCTTCTGGTAAAACTCTGAAAGTTCATTCCTGATTTGAGGAGCATAGAAGCTAAATGCTGCTTCTCCATGTTTGGTTCTGGTTCTGCAGATGAAGAGCAGACCAGAGCCAGAAGACCTGAGATGTCTGGATGGTTGATACAACAACAGCAGATCTTTAATGCATTTTTGTGCTACACCACAGTAAGATGACTGGAGCTTGAGTTAAGATTTAGCACCTTTTACTGGAATTACAGCGGCAAGTTTATAGAAACGGAAACCTTTGCCAATTTCATTTCTCTCTGTGAAAAGCAATTTTAGAGTCTTTCCACAAATTCTCGGTTAGAATCAGGTCAGGATTTTGACATTAATATGCTTTTAAGCCCAATTCCACGGCTCTGGTTGTATATTTAATATTCTGCTGCTAGAAGATGAACCTGTGCCTCAGTGAAGTAGAGCTTTGTTGTTCCTGACAGGTTTTCTGGAAGGATTGACACACATTTACTATCAACTATGACCAGTTTCCCAAGAAACTCAAGAAAAGCAGATCCACTCCTTTGTTTCACTGGGTCTGCACAACTTCATGTTGTCGACAGATTCGTACCTGAGTTGGACCTCCAGTCAGAATGGTCACTCTCAGCTGATTAATTGTTAACTAAAGTATACAAACTTCAAAAAAATTAGGCTACATGCTGAAATAACATGTTAAGAGCAGAGATTAAGCCAAATTACAAAATATGTATACATTTTGCATTTAAGATAAATGCAAAATGTAAGATAAAAACAAAAAGCCTTTATATGTAATTATGTAACATATAAAGAACTAGTTTTAGTTTAGTTTTAGCTTCACCCGGTTCAGTAGGAATGCTATTATTGCAGATTCGGCAATAAAAAAAGAAACTGAATTGTTTCCTTTGTATTCAAAGGTTTGTTTACTAATCCTCTGAAACAAACCGATGAATCTTAGGAGTTTAATCTAATATGCACATATAAAATTTGACTTGTGAAGCAATAAGTTGCAGGTGATCTTATTTTGGTTAATTAAAGAAAGATGAATACAAATGAAGCTCAGACAACAGTTTTATATTGATATATTATTATTTCCCTATCACTTCACCTACTTTGTGTTGATTTGTCTCATAAAATCCCTCTAACATACGTTGAAGTTTGTGGTTGTGCCGAGACAAAATGTGAAAAAGTCGAATGCACACTTTGGCAAAGCCCTTTGGACAGAGAGTGAATATAAATGGATGAAAACAGTCCAGGTTGTAATCAAAGCTGACAGCAGCTTTATCTCAGACATCGCCCTAAACACAAACATGTACTCATATACGTGCAACATGATGGCATACCCCTGGCTACTACTTTTAATTGAAAACTGCAGTGAGACAGGATGTGAGAGGAAACTGATGGTCATGTTCGCTATGATTCCTCAGGGAAAATTGGATTCACATAGGCAGAACTGTCACAACTTTATTTACTGTAGACCTGTCAGGAGAGCTTTATTGGCCCTCCCACCTTCCGCTCTTGGATACACAAATGCACTCATACGCAGCTCTCAGGGCGACCGCGCACTCAGCCACAGCAGCTGTGTTTGCTTACATGTCTGTGGCAGGTTGTCCTCCTTTGTACTTTAGTTGTCATGCAGCATCACTGTCTTCCCTGACAGGTAGATTATCTAAACTGACTCAGCTGCTTATGTAAAGGAGGGAGTTAAAGTGAGATGCTAATATTCTCTGTTTCTCCCGTAGTTTTTCTGTTAGATTTCCTTTTGGGATTTCATCCAGCTTTGATCTCCTCTCCCAACCTCATCCACCGGTCTGCGTATGCCTGTCTTTTGGCATGCTGGTGAGCTGCTGATATGAAAGGGATTTGAGGACCTCCCCACATCACTTTTTATAAGAGCGGCTTTCCCCCCCTGTGAGCTCTGGATGCTTCTCCTAAACACTTCCTGTCTCTGACTCAGCTGTGGGAGAGGCTTCAAATCAGCAGTGACTCTTTGCTCCCCTTGATGTGCCTCCATGGTATCACTTTGAAAGATAAAAGCAAAGCTGCGGCCACATGATGCAGGTTGTTTACCAGAGGTTTGTGGTCAGGATCACTGACGATTAGGTGCTTTCACGGATGCGTTGTTAGGAATACAGGAAAGATTGCCTCCAAAATGCTTTCTGGGTCAAATAGGTTAGAAACAACTGCAATGTTTGCTGACTTTACATATTCCACTCTGTGGCCTTTCAGGGTATATCAGAAGTTCTCCTCCAGCAACTACTATATTATTATTTTAGGCTTTTGGATTAAGTACCAGATAGGATGTTCACCACATTTTCAAATATAACCCAAGCTATTTCCCATGGCAACCATAATCTTAACCCTCCTGTTGTCCTCGGCTCATGTCGACCGAGGACAAGCCCTTAAAAAATATGTTTTTCAATTGCAGCTGCATACAGAAACTTTAATCTAACAGTCC